TATGATATACCCGTAGTGGAAAAATATTTAAAGATAATGAATAAGCATAATCATATTATTAATAGAGAAACATTTACTGCAATAATCACGGGTGCAAGTAAAGGTGGCAATTTAACTCAGGCCAGATATTGGTATAATCAAATGATTAAACAAGGAATTTCGCCAGATCATATGCTGCTTTCTATGATGATAAGAGCCCATGCCGATGATGCAAAAGAAATCGATAAAACTTTAACATTATGGAATGATTTTCATTATTTTGGCATTGCACCTGATGATGATGACATTATATATGTATTAAATTTGTGTGCAGAGACAAATCATTGGAGAGACGAAATCAAAATTCTTGGTCAATTGAAGGAGTTAGGTTATGATGCCGATTCATACAAAGCAAGAATAACGGAAAAGAAACAACAATCTAACGATGGAGCTGAATCAAAGATGGATCCGGATGAAGAGTATTATGAAGAATACGGTGAGTACCTTAAAACAAGATCGACCAATATGTCTATTATAAAGGTGAAAGAAAGGATGCAAAAATGGGTTCGAGATATAGCGAAAATAAGTTCTCAGAAAATGGATGATAACGCTAAAAGTAGAGTTGAACAATGGACTCCTTACAGGAAACACCAATTACCCATAATGGGGACGAAAGGTTAAAAATTAGTACATAATTCGTTTTCATAAAGCGTCAAAAATTTTTTTGTTTTTTGACATTCTGAACTGTTAAAATCATCAAAACAAACCAGAAAAAAGTACAACCAATTAATGCATTACATTACTAATTAACTCCATTGAATGAAATTTACCTGGTAAAACTTAAAAAAAAAAACATCTTTTATTTAACTCTATATATATGCATTCGGAGATGTGGTAATGTCAAAAAGAGCTGCTATTAGCTGTCTCAATTATTGCATTAAAATACGTTTACAATAAATTGTATTATGATTTTATTTGAAATTTTGTGATGTATTTAACTAAAACCCTAAGTACAATCTTGATATCAATCTAGTGGAACCGAATTATTTGGGTAATATATATAAGGAATAAAATGAAAAAATATCAGAAACTTGGATGGAAAATCGTCTGTTATTGATAATAACGAGAGGTCGATTCAAAGTTGATATTATCGTATTAAGGGCAGATTGCAAGTGATACTAGTGATCCAAGACTTTACGACCGATAAAGATAATAAAATTTTATCGGATTAGCCAAGAAATTCTAAATATATAAATTTTCAAGGTCGATTTCATTCCTTTTCGTTCTTTTACGCGCGTTGATGTGGACTGATCAAATTTTGCATTTAATTAGTTATCATTCGTAAAGCAATTTTTTATGCAGCATTATTATCTTCATGCATTTGATTTTTCTAAGTATACATC